ACACAGATATATTAACCTGTATTTATGTATAGTATATATAATTGGGGGAGTAGGTACTTTTCAGCATGAGAAACTGTGTGTATGTGTCAGTATACACACATATAATATGGTATTGCAGAATCATCTCTGGTCTGCCCCACAGATGGAAGGAGAAAATCTCTAAGCATCTCAAACTGTTCCCTCATTGTCCCTTGTACCAAATGCAGACCAAGGAATGCCTGATATCTCCCTAATACCAGCAGGGAGTCAAAGATTGCTACAGGTCCCAAGAGGAAATCTGACAACTTACTTGTTGTAGTTCTTAGTGGCCTGTATGGCTTGTGCAATCAACTCCTGGAGATCCAAGGGCAATAAATGCAGATCGCCCAGGACTCGGATACACACTCCATGCTTCTGAAGTTTCTCCCTGATGGGGGGAAAAGGAGGCAGGGTTGGCAAAGAGCACCTGCTAAGCTAGACAGAGGAAAGTGCTTAAGTAATGACCAACTACCAGTTTTTGGGTGCCTTCCTGTGTGTCAGGCACTGTTCTGTGTGTATTATTTCACTGCAGCCCCTCAGCAACTCTGAAAGGAGTTTACTACAGTGTTGAGGCTTAGGAAGGACAGTCAGATAGGGACATACTAAAGTGTTGCAGCTCAGCTAGGACAGTCAGAGACTGTCATGTAGTCATCAAGTGCCGCGTCAGGACTGAAACCCAGGTCTGTCTGATTTGAGAACACAAACTCTTTCACCACGTTACACTGCCTCGTGTACTTCTCAGCAAGTTGCATTTTATGTATTCTATATCTGTCCCATTTTGAGAAGTGAGTAAACTCCTCAAGGGCAAGAGATTTATTATTGGTTACCTTTGTTATGTTCTGATGAAATAGGATGATAATAGTGACAGCTAACATTAATTATGTGTTTACTAAGTGCCAGACACTGGTCTAAGTGCTTTACGTGCAACAACACATTCCACCCTCACACCAAGGATTAGTATTCCCCTTTTACAGATAAGGAAACTGAGGCAAAAGGAGGTTAGATAATTTGTTCAGACAGCTGCTGAATAGAGAGCCAGGATTTGAACCTAGGGAATCTGCCTCCAGAGCATGTCCTCTTAATCGTGACATTATATTGCTTCCATACAGTAACTCCCAAACCCTGCATATGGTAAGAATGAATTTTGTTACCCTATCCGCTTCTCTCGCCTGGGAATGCTATGGAGAAACTGAACACTTCATGTCTGGAAAATGGCAGCTTAAATAAGTGTACTAGAGGACCCTGATCCAGAACTGAAAGCCACATCCATAGCCTATCCACCCAACATAACCTTCAACTATATTTCTTCAAGGTTTGTGAAGCAAGATCTAATCAACTATTTTTTTTTTTTTTTTTTTTTT